TAAATCACTACAAACATAAATCGTATACACATAATACACCCCCCGGAAAGTTAACTCTATGACTGATTGACTGACTGACTGATGTGAATTTTCCCAGTCATCACAATAGTGCACAGTTTCAAAGAAACTCTGCACTAAAAAGAGTAATATAGTTCTTTCTAATTTTAGATTGACACAAGAACACACAGACATTACAACAGAGATATCAGGTAAAGTTGCGTATAGCTTTCAATTGTCACAAAGCATTGAGATCTGTACAGATAATTCACTCATTGCCGAATGGACACATATGCAGGAAAATAGCAGCTGCCTAAAATAATTTTGCAATCTGTTTTAACGTCTTCTTAATAGTCCTAAGTAGTCCATGACTATAATCCTAAGTAGTCCATGACTATAGTCCTACGTAGTCCAAGACTATAGTCCTAGGTAGTCCAAGACTATAGTCCTAAGTAGTCCTTGACTATAGTCCTGAGTAGTCCATGACTATAGTCCTAAGTAGTGCATGACTATAGTCCTAAGTGGTTCATGACTACAGTCCTAAGTAGTCCAAGACTATAGTCCTAAGTAGCCCATGACTATAATCCTAAGTAGTCCAAGACTATAGTCCTAAGTAGTCCTCGACTATAGTCCTGAGTAGTCCAAGACGATAGTCCTAAGTAGTCCAAGACTATAGTCCTAAGTAGTTCACGACTATAGTCCGAAGTAGTGCAAGACTATAGTCCTACACACGCCAAGAATACAGTCCTAAATTTTCCAAGACTATAGCCCCTAGACATTAGTCCGTGGCTCTAGTTGTCCTATAGACGGGCCTTATCAGTCCATGATTATACTCGTATTAGTCGCTTCCTATAGTAGCAGCCAGAGCAATTACGGTGAAACGTCGCCACCTTCTTCATTAGTATGTGAAATATTAGGCAAGACTGAATATTGTTTCCCTAACTGCAAACTCCCTCTATCAACTCTCTTTTTCTTGTCTATGAACATCGAAAAATCTGGGGCCTCGATTTTGCCAGGCGGCGGACGTTCTTCCGGTATCGCCTTTCTAGCGCTGTTTTTCTCCAACTTTGGTAAAATTCGTGGACTTTTTGGCGGTTCCCTTTCGCCTCGTTGATAGTAATTCACAAAGTTCGCATTTTTTGCTTCAGGCCTTAATTCCATGGAACTTGGCACTGTCAGTGCATGATTCACTTTCTCATTTTCTCTTCCCAATATTCGGTTTGTTATGCACAGTCGATTTGAAGTTTCCAGTAAATTTAGTTCTGGTTTTGATTTTGTGTTCTTCTTATTTGTTAATTCAGATTGTTCGCCCTCAAAGCATTGTGCGATAGATTCGTGTTCGTCTTGAGGGATTGAAGGTCTTCTGCGAAGCCTTGCTGATCGTGGGCGGTCGGAACCCGAAGAACGTTTGTTCATTGAAAATGGCATCGAGATTTGTCAGTGGCAGACTTTAAACGATGGTTTTTGTAATGACTGATAAACCGTACTGAAAACGCCAGTAATTGTTATGTCTTTCAATCTATAAGGGAAGAAATTTTGCTGTATATACATGGGCGGTTTTCATTAAGCACTATCGTGCAGATGGTGGTCTACCTACAGAGTTATCGCAGCGAGAAACTGATGCACACCAATCAATGGACAGGGCCGCCGAGAGGTTGGCGGGGGCCCGGGGCAAATGTTTTTTTAGGGGCCCCTATCTAAAAAATTTTTCCCGGAAAAATTTTTTTCCGGACAACAACCCCCCCCCCGTCGCCAAATATTTTTCGGTCAGTGTACCATTTTAGGAGTAAAAATTTTTTTCCGGAGTACAAAATTTTTCCGGACGAGTACGCTGCAATTGCTTTCGAGGGACTTTATCTCATTTTTTATGCCAAAATTCGGTACTTAGCCCAAGAAAACAGATATCTTGATAGCGCGGAAATATTTAACACACAAAAAAGGCTGGGGCCCAACAAAAATTTTTCAGGGGCCCCCAGCAACTCGGGGCAATTTGCCCCCCCCCCCCTCTCTCGGCGGCCCTGTCAATGGAGAATTGTAGTTTAATTTCCTTCATCGCTCCTTTATTATATGGACAATGGTGCTTTACGTACTATTTAAAAAACGAGCATGCAGGCGTGTTTTATTAGGTTTAAAGCCACGAGCGCGCAGCGCGAGTGGCTTTAGACCTAATAAAACACGACCTGCGAGTTTTTTAAATGGCTTCAAAAACGTTTGCATAATAAGTCAAATCTTTATATAAAAATCTTTATATAGTTTGCATAACAATGGTCTTTTGTTAAAGCGTTCTTTAGCTTGTATAAAGACGTATGCACGTGACTAATTTCTTACTCAAGATTGGATAATTGCGTCGTGAATTATTAATGAGTTTTTGAATGGAAACTAAAACACTCGTAGAACTCATACGTCACTACATCCGGGGCCAGATGCGCGTATTTTCCGTATTTCACCCTATGATTTCACCCCAGCTAGTGACATACGAAGTTCGAAAATTTCCCGCCATTTTCATTGTTGTTTTTGAAAAAATAAATGGTCTTTCGTTCGTATATAAATCGAAATTATAACGTTGAAAATAAAACGAAAACATTTAAAAGACATCTTGAGATAAGTAAAATTTATTCTAGTTTTATGTTTGCAGTTTTATGTTTGGTCTTTCGCGTGCTTATTTACATGTCGTCTTTGTGTGTATTTTTGTCACTCTGAGTAAGTCCATATAATAAACAGAACATTGAACGGTTGCGAAAAGATATGGATTTA